AAATGAAATAAAACAAGTAAAATTTTTGAAGTGGTATGACTATGCTTCTATGTCAGAAATGAAATAAACTAAAAACTTAATAATATAACAATCTTTATAATACTGATATATCAAACTTCCAACACCAATCCCAGAAGTTAAAAAAAAAAAAAACTATAGGAAATTTTGAAATGGAATATATTATATATCAAACTTCACATCTAGTAAGAGAAAACAGTCTTTCTCATTTAAGAAATGAGTTAAGAGGGCGCCTGGGTGGCTCAGTTGGTTAAACGACTGCCTTCGGCTCAGGTCATGATCCTGGAGTCCCTGGATCGAGTCCCACATCGGGCTCCCTGCTCAGCAGGGAGTCTGCTTCTCCCTCTGACCTTCTTCCCTCTCGTGCTCTCTATCTCTCAAATCAATAAATAAAATCTTTAAAAAAAAAAGAAATGAGTTAAGAAATCAGTTCAGCCATCTACCAAGAAACTACAATTGTCAAGCGCTCTGCTCAGTTTCAAGGATAAAAAAGCGAATACATCATTTCACTGCCCTTAAAGAGTTCAAATGTTAGTGGAGGGGACAGACATAAGCAAATAATAACGTAATATAATATGATACAAGAAAACTAAAGATATATTCAAAATAATGTCAGGTCAAAGAAGAAGCATTTCTGCAAAGAAACAAAACAATGTCAGGAAATGCATTGCAAAAGGGGTGACATTTAGCTAGGGCCTGAAGAAAGAAGGAATTCATTGAGAAAGAAAGACATTCCACAAAGGAAAATACAAACAGATGAAAATAATAAGATCTTTTCAAGGAACAGTAAGTTGAGAGCAACCAAAAAGTGGATTAGCATAAAGAGAAAGAAATTTGGATTTTATGCTAAATGGTATGACAGAACTTTGGGATCATCCCAATTGGCCAAAATCAAAGGCAACTAATGTTTTCAGCTTGAATGGATGTGCCACTGATGGCACAAGATAATCCAAAAGAGCAAACAGGTCTTTGGGAAGAGAGAAAAATCACTGGAAAAGTAAGGAGAAAAGAAGGGAGGGAGCGAAATTCTAGGTTACAGAATTTCTCATTCCCCTAGGGACATACATGAGTAACTAAATTTTAAGAACGGAGGCAAGAGATAAAGAATTGGAAGTTATCGTTATTTAGACACCAATTTCATCTTTTTCTCCCTCCCTTCAGTCTCAAAAAATTCCGGCTCTTAAGATGAAAGCCACATACTAAGAACAGGAGCAGAAAGCTAAAGAGAGCCAGTGCCTTACTTTTGAGCAGCTATATCAACCCTACAATTGTCTACCTGAAAACTCCTTGTTGATTTTTCCTCACAAAATATCCCTCCATTTGTGTAAACTACTGCTATCATGATTTTTGTTACTGACAAAGTCATTTGTGCCCAACACCATGGTCAGCATGCTTTTGTCTCTGTTTCTCTTCTCATGTCACGCTCTGTACTCTCCCTTAGGGGATCTCAGCCATTCCCTTAGCTTCAGAAACCACCTATGTGCTGATGACTCCCAAATCTAGATCTTATCTGACTCAGGAAATGCTGACTGGATGTGACAAGACTATTCAATATATTACATTTTTGCTACTACAGAAAGTGATCTTGGTATAAAACACAATATTCTAATCCTACAGAAAGCTAAGTAGTAAGAGAGAGGCAATCCCTCATCTATGCACTAAAGCTGTACGGTCCCACTGTCTGTACAGAATGGATTCAGTGAACAAATGAGAGAGAAAACAAGGATATTCGCTGGGCAGTTAGAGAAACAGAACGAGAGACATATGGACTTACAGGGGGTTCAAAACCCAGACAGGCAGAACTAGAGAAATTATATATGTTTTCACAGACAGCTCAATAAATAATTCTAAATAAATCCATCTTTTCATTTTTGTTTTTATTGTGGTCAGGCATACATGATATAAAATGTGTTATTTTAACCATTTGTAAGTGTAAAGGTCAGTGGTATGAGGCAAATATTCACACTGCTGGGCAACTGTCACCACTACTCATCTCCAGAACTCTTTCAGCACTTCGTACTGAAACTCCATACCCATGAAATAGTATTTTCCCATTTCCCTCTCCCCTCAGCCCCTGGCAACCACCATTCTGCTGCCTGTCTCTCTGAATCTGACTACTCTCGGTACCTCAAATAAGTGGAATCACATAGTATTTGTCCTTTCATGACAGGCTTATTTTAGTTAGCAAAATGTCCTCAAGGCTCATCTATATTGTAGCATGTGTCCAAACTTCCCTTCTTTTTTAACACTAATATTTCAGGGTGCCTGGCTGGCTCAGTCGGTTAAGCATATGCCTTTAGCTCAGGTCATGATTCTGGAGTCCCAGGATGGAGCCCCACATCAGGATCCCTGCTCAGCAGGGGGTCTGCTTCTCCCTCTGACCCTCCCCCTTCTCGTGCTCTCTCTCTCTCAAATAAATAAAATCTTAAAAAAAACTGAATAATATATTTCATTGTATGTATAGATTACATTTTGTTTATCTATCCATCCACTGATGGACACAGGTTGTTCCCACCTTTTGGCTACTGCAAATCATGCTGCTCTGAACATGGGTATACGAGTATCTGCTAGCATGCAATCTTTGGTACAGATAACAAGAAGTGGAATTGCTGGATCAAATGGCAATTCTATGGTTAACTTTTTTGAGGAACTGTTCTCCATAATGTCTGCAGCTGTACCATTTTACATTCCCACCAGCAATGCACATTCATACCAACACTTGTTTACTGGTTGCCAGTTGTCTTTCATTTGTTTGATAACAGCCATTCTATGGGTATGAAGTGGTATATCTTTGTACTTTTGATTTACATTTCCCTAATGATTACTGATACTGGGCATCTTTTCAGGTGCTTATTGGCCATCTGTATATATTTGGAGAAATGTCTATTTAAGCCCTTTGCCCACTTTTGAAGTAGACTGCCTGTATTCTTGGGGTCAAGTCTTAGGAGTTCATTAAATAGTGTGGATATTGATTAATTATACCTATTTTTAAAGAGAATACTAACAAGCAAACTGCTACCTAAATAAAACTTAAAGTACCTTAAGAGAGTTTTAAGTTAAATTACTTTGAATGGCGGGCGCCTGGGTGGCTCAGTTGGTTGAGCGACTGCCTTCGGCTCAGGTCATGATCCTGGAGTCCCTGGATCGAGTCCCACATCGGGCTCCCTGCTCCGCAGGGAGTCTGCTTCTCCCTCTGACCCTCTTCCCTCTCGTGCTATCTCTCATTCTCTCTCTCTCAAATAAATAAATAAAATCTTTAAAAAAAAAATTACTTTGAATGGCTTATGATTAAGAGCAGTCTGAAAATATAATCCTTTCAAGTATCAATTCCAAAATCAAACTTTTTTTTTTTTTTTAGTAGGCTAGACGCTGACTGTGGGGCTTGAACTCAGGACCCTGAGATCAAGAGTCACATGCTCTACTGACTGAGCCAGCCAGCAGCCCCAAATTCAAACTATTTTAAAATCATCAGTCCCTCCCCAAACAACTGAACTCTTGTTTTTCTACAAAGCTCACAGGGACACTCAGAAATGTTTTTAAAATTCATGATTGATAAAAAACTATATAGTAACCTAAATTCACATGATTCACATAAAATACTCAAAAATATTCACAATTTTGTCAGCTCCATGCAATATCATTCATATTTTGACCTATGTAAATGCTATGCCATGGAGCACAGGGGAGCACCTGATATATACAGACTGTCTTCTACATGGTGGGCCCTGTCACTGTGGAACACTGCAGTCCTATGGCATTCAAGTGGTAAAGACGTGGGCTTCCTTTTCATTACTACTCTGACATAACTTTTAAAGTTAAAAAAGGCAAAGAATATAATAATAAAATTAAGTGTACCTCTGGTATTCAATGACTCCCTAAACTCTAAACTGACTTATTCATTCTTCTCTAATTAAAGTGTTCAATCCTATTTTTCCAACTGATAGCTTTACTATGTTAGTAATGACCAATCTAATTATCTTTTATCTCCCCAGCATCCAATCTTCCTTCTGATTCACACCTCAGTTTCCCAAAAGGCAACCACCTTGTCCCATTCTTAGTCCCAGAGTTTCAGGTAGCTGCTGAGATGAGCAAAAGATCTAAGTCTGGGCAATCAAACAGCAATTAAAACAAGGAAAGGCATGGGACACAAAATAAGACAGTAAGATTTGGTCCTAGAACTTTTGCTAGATTTTCAGGAAAGAAATGACATTATAGGGGTGGCTGGGTGCTCAGTCGGTTAAGCATCTGCCTTCGGCTCAGGTCGTGATTCCAGGGTCCTGGGATCGAGACCCACATCAGGCTCCCTGCTCAGCGGGGAGTCTGCTTCTCCCTCTCCCTCTGCCACGCCCCCTGCTTGTGCTCGCTCTCTCTCCCTCTCTCTCTCTAATAAATAAATAAATAAAATCTTTAAAAAAAGAAAAGAAAAGAGGGGCGCCTGGGTGGCTCAGTTGTTAAGCGTCTGCCTTCGGCTCAGGTCATGGTCCCAGGGTCCCAGAATCGAGTCCTGCATCGGGCGCCCTGCTGAGCAGGGAGCCTGCTTCTCCCTCTGCCTGCCTCTCTCTCTCTTTCTCTGACACATAAATAAATAAAATCTTTAAAGAACATTAAGACTCTAGTAAGGAAATGTCTTGTAAGCATAGCCTCAAGAAGTGATTCATTTTAAACAAATTTAAAATCTATTCTTTGAGGGCGCCTGGGTGGCTCAGTCGTTAAGCGTCTGCCTTCGGCTCAGGTCATGATCTCAGGGTCCTGGGATCGAGTCCCACATCAGGCTCCCTGCTCTGCGGGAGGCCTGCTTCTCCCTCTCCCACTCCCCCTCTGCTTGTGTTCCTGCTCTCGCTATCTCTGTCTCTGTGTCTGTCAAATAAATAAAATCTTTAAAAAAATAAAAAAATAAAATAAAATCTATTCTTTGAAACCAAAAAGTTATTATGATAACAATTCATTTTATTACAAATTTAAAAATTAATACAAGACTTTACCTCCAGATCCTAACTGCTTGTAGAATCTGTATTCCAAATGCAGCTGTGGTGCTCTGGATTTCATGGGCTCCTAATTAAAAAATAAACAAAAATAACAAAAAATATTTAAATTATTAAAATATCACTAGGTCCCAATCCCAAATGTTATAAATCTTGGTGTAAACTCATAATTTAATATTCTACTAGGCATCTTTCTCTAACATTAGATCCAAATAAAAATCAACTTTACATTCAATTAAAATCAACTGATACCATAAATGTACATAAGGTTAACTGGCTATTAGAAGAAGCAGTAAGGAAATCTATACGTTTGACTCTTTGACTCTGAAGAAAATTATACTCAAAACATTCATGACTAGGGAAAACGGTGGCCCTTACTCTTTTTCTCCCCTTCCCAAGAATTCACCTCTGAGCTGTGTATTTCTCATGTAAAGGTTCTAGGTTAAAGGGAAGTCATAGACAAGTGGAGAAAGAACAAAGATGAAAATATGAAAATTTTGACAGGAGCAAGATATTTTTAAAATCTTTTTTAACTAGGGTATAGCTTACAATAAAACATGAAGTTCATAAGCATTACATCCATGAGCTTAGTTAACTACATATACTCCCACAACCACCACCTCAAAAAACCTTCAGAACATTTCCATCATCCTTCCCTCAGAGGCAGTCCCTTGTTGACTTTTATCACCTTTCGATGAGTTTCATCTGTTGTTCTATTTCATATAAATGACATTTTTCAGTGTATGTTTTATATGTGTGTGTCTGGCTTCTTTCACGCAACATAATGTTTTTAAGATTTACACACACACACAAAACAACAAAAACAAAAGCAAAAGAGACTCTAGATATAAGTAATAAACAATAAATGTGTGAAAATATCTGTAGAAAGCAAGAAACTATTTAACAGGAAAGTAACAGGAAATCTGTACAAGATCCAATAGGAAAGTATAACAAAGTAACAATATTTAAACAAAATCAACAGAACTTCAAAAAAATTTTAAGACTTCAATAATTGAACTTGCAAACTCAGTCTGCCAGCAAATTAACACAACAGAAGAGAGACTTTGGAAACTAGAAGATATAAGGGAAAACATTTATAGGACTAGAAAATGATGTAGAATGCCTCTATAAAATTATACGGAATGCATTATGAAAGAAGAAAAATGGAAAATACAGAAAAAAAGAAAAAAGATCAGAGACCTAGATAATACACTGGGAAAGTCTAATAGACATTTGATAAGAGTCTCAGGAGGACAGGAGGGGAAGAAGTGAGCAGAAGCAACAACTGAAGAAGTAATTGCTATGAATCTTTGAGAACTGATGAAAGACAACAAACTACAGACTCAGGAGGAATGTGGATCCCAAACAAAAGAACTTTAAAAACAAATCTATACCAAGACCTATTATAATGAAAACTATAACCCAGGACAAAGACTTCAGATAAGGAATGAGTGAAATCCCAGGGGAACAATTACAGTCATAAACATTATTGTAAGAGAAAACAACGAGCTTAGCTCTTGAGAGGCAGGACAGAATAGTTAAAGGACAGACACTAAAACTACACTTTTCTGAGTTTGAATCCTAAATCTACTACGGACTAGCTGAGTGGCTTTGGCAAATTACTTAACGTTTTTGTACGTCTCAGTTTCCTCCTCTACAAAAGAGGGATAAAACTTTATCCTTTTCATTATACATACATGCGTATTATTATTTATATTATATATACATACATTTACATATATGACTTAAAACAGTGCCTTCCACATAGTGAGTGCTATACCTATAAATTCTTCACTTAACTCTACAGAAGTATGTAACCATAAAAAAAGTATGTAACCATAAAAATAGTATGTAATCAAAAATGCCCACTTATGCAATCATCAGTGAAATTAAATATATAACTTACTCACTCACTAAAACTCCCTAGATAAAAAGACAAACTCAGATCTAATTTAGGTGAGTCAGTTCAGCTTGATTCCAGTACTTTACTAGCAGTAAAATTTTATCACACCACCATGTAACAAAAGTCTAACAGGCTGACATTTTCATTATTCATGAACACCAGGTTATTAGATAAGTGCAAACAACAACAGATAAGGGTACCAGCTGAGGTCAGATTAACAAATTACCCAGAAACAAACTATCAACATGAACTAGGATAACATTAAATAAATGTGAAAACCTTTCTAAGAGATAGCAGAACTGAAAGTTGTCACTGAAATCTGCTCTCTGAATACCACTGTTATCAAAATGCCCCTATTTGTACCAAAATATAGAAATCAGATGGCACTGAAGGTAGATAGACATAACATTTTCAAGTAATTATTTTTAAGGCAGGTTCTGAACAAAATTATGTTATATGTTATATATACAAACAAGAAAATATATAAGGAAATTTTATATTTCATATACAAAAATATTTAATAAACTAAGTACCAAACTATGGTCCAATAGTTTGTGTGAAATGTCTTCTGTCCTACCAATATATTTTTGGATGAATTCAAGGCAAAGGCGACTCTATATGTCATACTTAAACCTCAAAATACTAGACACAGATCCAAAAAAATTGCCAGTTTCTCAAAGAAACCACAATTATTATATGTAGTGCTGATCACTGTGCTTTATAAAAAGGGGTAAGTCAGAGCAGAGGGAGACTGTCTGAAAAAAAAAAGAAGGAAAACAGTAACTAAGGGGATAGTGATATGGCATGAAGATAAACTAAAAAGAGTTGCACACACGTGTGTATATATGAATGAAAGATGACATACTAAATGTTTACTAAGGCATCAATGGTGCAAGCAGGGTAAACAAGTCCCAAATCTGAGAATAACAAGACCTAAGGGTTACCAATTAAGGCCTGAATCAGACAAGGACAGGTCAGCCTAGAGCAGTGGCTCCTGCTGTGACATCGTGGTTGATATGCCTCAGGCTGTCAGTTCAGCACCAGAACGCGCTCCCCTGAGTGGTGCTGCTCATTGCAGGCTGCTGTAGCAATAACACCAAATATGGGTGTTGCCGCATTCCTGTCCTTGTGTGCCACCCCCACTCCCAACACCACACAATGTCTAGATCCTAGACCGCTGGCCTAGAACATGGAAAAAGGAAGAATTCCAAAGAAATGAAAGTCAGCAATGCCCTTTCAGACACTGTCCAATGCCTGCAACCTCGGCCTCCCTATTGTGATTCACACACACCAATGCCCCTTGTTCTGATCTCATGCTCAGAAGAGAACTTTGTCATTTTAACTTACTTTCTATGCGTATCAGCCTACAGAAAACAAACATGTTTATACTGATTTGGGCACTGTGGATGTGTAATAGTAAAATACCTCATTTTGAATTAGAAGTTAATTCTTCCAAATATTTACATCTCTGAGAGCTTGACTGATTGTGTGAACTGAACAGTTACCGTAAATCCACCTTTAACTGCCAGTGACGATCTTAAAAGCAAACAGATCTGCTATCATAAAGCCAAGGAGCAGACCTTAAAACTATGGTGAACTCATCCAGGCAAAAGCCAGTCCCAAACTACCTGTCAGCCAGCCAGTATCTCCTGGTGGAGTCACAACCCTATTGTGCATCTTTACTTCCCAGTGAAAATAAACAGCATTTGTTACAGCGAAACTCAGTCTACAATCACAAAGACACTTAAAATTAAGGAGTACAGTTTTCTAGCTCATCCTGAAAGTTTTTCTACTTCTCTCTGTTGCCTCTTCTAATAGTCTCTCCTTCTATATTAATCCCACATTACCCTAATAACAGTGGTTATTTTGGCAGAAGCAAGATTGACAATGGCAAGCAGACTGGAAAAACCAAGCCGTGCTTAACCTCAGGGAAACCTGGCTGGCCAGCCAGAAAGAAAAGTTGTGCCTGAAGAAAGTTAGGTCTCATAAAAATTCCCGGATCCCAATTCCTCCAGAGAAGAGCTGCCTTACAGCTGTCATAGTTGGCACAGTTAGGACTCTAGATAGGTCCCATGGGAGTTTGCTTTCTCTGCTACCCTCCACTCACATCAATAATCTCTGATTCCCTGAAGGTCAAACAAGAGCCAGTTATTACCATATAAAAAAGATCAGTAGAAAAAGAGATTTTGGAAGTTACCTGGAAATATAGTTTCAAAGAATGTAATCCTGAATACTAAGGACACTTTTGTCCAAATGCTTGAATCATTAAGAGAAATTTTGCTTTCTAGTTTTTCAATAGTTAAAAATGCCAATGTGCCAGCTTCTTTAAATGAAAAATTGTACCAAAACTTGAAAATGAAATTCTATAATGCTATCAAAGTAAAGGGACTGAGTTTTCGTGGCACAGAAAGACACAGACATCTGTACATTATCACATACTTGAGGGGCATGCTGATGCTTGCAGCTTAACAACAAAAAACTCAGTTATGCATATCATTTCCCCAGTAAACACTCAAATTATAAATGATAGGAAAACAGAAAAGTAATTAAAATATAAGCTAATCATCAAAGACAAAACAGGAAAATTAGAAACATGAACTTACCAGTTTAATTGCCACATATTCATTTGTATATAAATTTTTCCCTTAAAAAAGAAAGAAAAAATGTCAGATTCTACCAATAATTAATTTTTAAAGAGATATTATGTAAAACTCTACTCTGGGTGGAAAAAAAAAAAGCACATAATATATTTAAATAAAGCAAAAGGGGGGGGCACCGGGGTGGCTTAGTCGGGTAAGCATCCAACTCTTGAGGGTCCTATGATCTTGCTCTGCCTTGGGCTCCTCGCTCAGTGGGGAGCCTCCTTGAGATTCTCCCTCTCCCTCATCCTCTGCACCTCCTCCTGTGCATGCGCATGCGTGCTCTCTCTTGCTCTCTCTCTAATAAATCTTCAAATAAAGCAAAAGTCTTTGCTTCCAACTATATAGCAAAAACCCCAATGACAAGGAAATCTTAAATTTATCAACTCAATGACATATTTAGCATTTCACCCGGATTCAGAGTAGAAGGTAATACTAATAAATACATTAGCCCACTTACAAAAATGGAAAGATTATTATTTTGCTGGAATACGGCACACAACTCAGAAAGTAAATCAATAGTCAAACACATGCTAAAAAAAATCTCAAAACCAGAACTCCTATATAAAGGAATACAAAATTCCTTTCCCAGTCACCATCTCATTTTAAATCCTTCATTATTATGAGATGTAATCTCATTACAGCCCATATGTAATCTAGTAAGTATATTAACACAGAAAAAATCTGGAATATATTAAAAATGAAACAAAGAAAGAAACATTATTCAATAATTGAATCTGAAAACTAGTTAACTACTTTGAGGGGAACAAGGGTTCTTAACGTCTTACCTTATAACCAAATTAAATTCTGAATATTTTAAAATGTAGATATAGATCATAAAAGAAAAAAATATCACCCAATATATAGGAGCCTTTCTGAGCATTTTAAAAAGGTGGAAAAAGTTAAGAAGATTTTATACAGACTGGAAAGCATAAAATATGTTAAACGTCTGTATGCTGAAAAAAATTTACCATATACAAACAACAGGTAAGTAACAAGCCAAAATAAAGATTTAATATCTCTGATACATAAATTAACACGTTTCTTCACAAGTACAGTAAAAAGAATAAAAAACAGAATGTGATTTCTGAATTTCCAGCATTGTTTCAATAAGCCTGTATTATTTTTATAATGAGAAAAACAGAAAAAATGATAGCTGTTTTTTTTTAATTGTGATGGTAACTGGCCCTGTTCACATAACTACTGAACACAGAATAGGCAATCATCAACTTTCACACATGTGATTTTCTACCATAATACCCCTAACTTCCTCTTCTACAGTAGCTAATGAACGGCAGTAAAACCAGGCAAAATTTCAGTGTCAGATACACACAGCAGTGTTTGTTCATACAAATACGATAATACTCTTCTGAATTTTGTCCTTTTTTTATAAAAATGAATGAAAAAAAGATGAAAAAAAACAAGGATTTGTACCAATGCTATATAGCATAGGGCTCCTAACCCATGACAGCTGACACAGGGATGGAACTCAAGAGGACTGTACATTCAAGTGTTCGCTGATCCCATATATATTAAAAAAAAAAAAAAAAACCCAGAAAACTAAAAAAATTTTTAGTCAATTAGTTCAACATTTAGATGTGCCTTCATCTATACTTTCAAGAATACAGTACGTATGAAACGGTAGGCTTCCTTGAGTAAGCACCGAGTGAATCATTTAATGATACAGTGAGGAACTTCATCTTGAGGAACTGGTGTCTCACAAAGGAATAATTGTTTTGAGTTAAAAGACAGAATCTGTATTTCCTCAAGACATTATCATCTTTTCACAACTATGCATATGATGCTTAGTCACAGGTACACAAGGAAAAATTATCCACAGGACAAGAAGTAAGGTTAAATACAAAATCCACAGAACCAAAATATACCAAATTCTTCTACAAGTACTGTTTCTCCTGGCATTTATACAATAAAATGTCTACTTTTAGGTCAGAGCAGAAAGCACTACACCCTTAAAGCACCGTCTTTTTTTGAACATTAAATAATTTTGTTGAACTCTGAGGATTATATTTCTAAATATGAACAATGATGAAACAATACTACCAATGCATTTGTGTTACCTAACATAGGCAGAGCCTCACACACTTGGCTTTTACTCAATGTTTGTTTCATGCATGAACAAATGACACGCAAAGTATGTCTTTATGTGTATAATATGAGTGAGAGGGAGGGAGTGTATGTGTAGAGGGAATCCAGTTAAGACAAGGCTCCAAGCAGGCTGGTTCCAATTAACTAATGTTTTAATCCAATTTCAAAGGACATTCCCGGTAGAACTTTGTGCTATACTGAACTTGAAAAGACGGTTTTACCAATTTGGTGGTATTTGGGTGGTAATTATTATAAAAAACTATGTTCTACAGAAGGTATGTATATGTTCACAGAACAAACTTAGTTACCCACCAATATCCAAGCCTTCCATTCTATAATAATAGAATGACTCAGTTTTAAAGTGGCTGTTGGCTAGAGACTACATTTCCAGCCTCTCTTTCAGCTTGGTGTGGCCAGGTGATTAAGTTCCAGATATGAGCAAAGGTTTGTCCCTCCTCAATTCCAAAAATGAATGTGTGCTCTCCTGGCCCATTTTCTTCTTCTTGCTGGCTGGCTAGCTGCGAGACAGCAACCAAAGGAGCTATCTTACTACACACACAGACTGAAGCCATATACTGAGGATGCAGAGTTGCCCTGACAGCCCCGGGTGCTCTCCCTCTGGTTTGTGTTACATGAAAAAAACAAAAAACAACAAAAACCTATTTTGCTTAATACCACTATATTCTAGGACCTCTTTGTTAGAGCATCACAATCTGTTCCTTATTATTACATTTCTCAATTAAGTTCCATGATATGCTTCAGTTAGTAGCAGTAGAAAATCAATAAGCATAAAAATGATGGATGCACACAAATCTGCATATTTATTTGATATATATTGTAAGGCCTGCAGAATTTTCAATAAAACAATTCTTAAATTAAAAGCAATCAAACAAGAATTATGAACTATATAGAAGAAAAGAAACAAAAATAAGAGAAGTTACTAAAACTCCTGTGGTATACTTCATTATGTCAAAAGTTACAATAACTTATTTCAGATACAGTGTCTCATAAAGCTATATATAACACCCTTGCTCTGTGTTCTTTTATGTGACGGTCAGTCAGGGGTAGCCACGAGAGGGGACATAGAAGAGGCTCACGAGGGGCGCCTGGGTGGCTCAGTCCTTAAGCGTCTGCCTTTGGCTCAGGTCATGATCCCGGGGTCCTGGGATCGAGCCCCGCATTGGGCTCCCTGCTCCACGGGAAGCCTGCTTCTCCCTCTCCTACACCCCCTGCTTGTGTTCCCTCTCTCACTGTGTCTCTCTTTGTCAAATAAATAAATAAAATCTTTTAAAAAAAAAAAAAAAGAGGCTCAGGTAAACAAAGTTTATTATCCTCTCAGGTCCTAGACAGGGAGTCACAGGAAAAGTATCATGTTTTGGTCAAGTGGTGGGAGACAGAAACAAAGGAAAGGGAGCTGAGGCCAAAGCCTTTATCGGAGTTTCTGCAGAAAGCCAAGGCCCGGCAGGATCAACAGTTAAGGATTAGCTAGTTTGAATAATTCTGGTGGCAAATAATTCCAGGGTCTTTGGGCTATATAGGTGGTCTCTCGTCTCGTACCTAGCCATGGGATCATTAATGAAGAGGACCGCCTCCTAGAATACACAGGCCAGACAGAGGCGGTATAGCTCTGGACCAGTTACTCTGCAGAACAAAGGCATACTCCCAACTGAGTCCTTTGCTATCTCTAAGAACTGGCTAGACCCAGCAGGAGTAGTCTCTCCCCAGGCAAAAAGATTTTTTTAAGATGTCAAAACATAATAGAAGAAAAACGAAGAAATATATACAATAAAACACTGTATTTTAGCTAGCTATGTTTGTTCTCATTCAGTGCCCCAGTATTTCTAGGGGTTTCGGTTGACTGTCTAAGCTAGACACAGATCTACAAATAGGAAGAAGGCAAGTCTTACCACCAACACATATAAAGATAAAATAAAACCAAAAATACATTAATCATTTTACAATAAAAAACAAATAAAAATGTACTATCAATTACATAAACGTAATTTACATTATTTAAAATGTTTACCTTTTTTTTTTTTAAATCTCAAAGCATTTGGACAGCTTTATGTCAAACTTTTTTTTTTCTTAATAATTACCTGTAAAAGCAGTTTCAATGGTGCATAATACCTGGGGCATTTGAAAACGGCAGGGGAAAGCTATTTGGGGTTGTATGTGGAGGTACAACCTTTATTTAGTTGTTCTAAACAACATGAAGTTGTTGTTTAGAAGGAGAGTTCTAAACAACATGAAGTACTTGGAACAGTCCTCTACAAAAAAAAAAAGAACGTCCAGCCCAAAATGCCAACAGCCATCTTTGCTGAAAGTTACTTCCCTATAACATGTACACCTTATATTTTTTCTCACCCAATACTAATCACAAAAATTTTAGGGCCAGGAATCAAATATTCAAGATGTGCCTATTAATGTTGTTTCAAAGCAAGCACTCTTAGAATCCAAACCAGCTATTAACATTAGCATGTTTACACAGCTATATAAAGAATGATGCTTTGAACAACTTTTTTTATACAGAAACATTATCTGGGGCCTTTAAAAAAGGAGTAAAATGCTGCTTTCTTTAGTATCCTATCAATAAAAAGGAATAAAATGACTAAATTAGCTATATAAGTATAGATGTTATATATATTATAAATACACATAAAACACAAATACACAGAGTACAGATCATACATTTAAATAAATATATACAAACATACAATAAATAACCATAGACAGATTAGATACAGATACACAGCCAGGTGGATGATGGATGGATGGATGGATGGATGGATGGATGGATGGAGGGATGGACAGACTAATAAATCATTTTATTCCTATTCCTGATTATTCACAGACTGTAAAAGAAAGGGGTATTTTACTGCTTTTTCACCATATGTAGCATATACAGTTTCTGTATATGGTACACATAGCTTCTCGTATTGTCCTGGTGAAAAGGGTCAGCTAGATTCACTTTGTGTGTATACACACACACACACACACACGGAGGTATACATACACATAAATGTATTTGTAAACATATATGTATGTAGTTATTTTGAAATAAATTACATGAAACCACTTTTAAATAAAAAAGGCCAATATAGTCATATCCACAGAGATAGGAAGAATACAAATACATACATATGAAAAATATATACCTGTAGAGCTAATTTATACATATAAATTTAAATAAAAGTACATACAACATGCCATCAATTTAATTTTAAAACAGAACAAATATCTTGATATCATCTTTTAAGGAAGCAGAACAATCATTGTTTTCCTGAAATATGCAGGTACAGTGCTGGTCCTTTTACATTATCATCTAAATTTCATCTCCACAATAAGCTAGGAAGTAGAAATAATTCCATTTTAAAGTTGAGGAATTTGAGGCCCCAAGTGGTTACTTGACTTGTATTTTCCATAATAGCGGGCACAATTTTTATATTTTTCCAGTATTATTAGTGCCAAATCATGCCTCCTACATGACAGACATGCAGTACATTTTGGATGGATGAAGGGTGCTCAAAGTTACACAAGTAAGTAACCTTGTTTTCCAATTCCAAAATCAGAAACAGTTTAAGAATTTCAAAATATCCAACTCAATATCCTTCAGAAAATAAAGTGTAAAACATTCACCCTTTCAAATATGTGAGTCCCTACTAAAATGCAAGAGTCTGCCAGACACATCAATCACAGTTCTTTACAAAGTATGTCATTGTCTTTTATTGGCTTGCTTCATGAAAAGATTTAATGCACATTAACAACACAAAATACTATTAAAATGAAGGACTAACTACAAATTAGGGTGTTTTACAAGATGAAAAGAAGTAATTGAGTAGATAAACATACAATTGGATTTCTAATAAGTGGGGTTATATCAAAGGAAAATTGTAAAGCTAAATTTTCCTTTTTACATCGCAAGTTTCCATTCTTGGTGGTCCATTGACCAGAGCCCTCAAGGAACCTCAGTACTGACGCCCATATAACCATGCTGCCGTGTTAGTTCTCTTCATTCAAGATAGCCATATCTCTACTGTACTAGCAGTTAAAAGCCTAGATTTTGGTCCTGAGTCTGTCATTAAATTGCTGTGTGACATCTGGCAGGCAACCTTCCCTCACTGAGTTTCAACTGCCTTAAATGTAGAGTTGGGAGGTTTAATTAGACCAATGTTTACCAAAGCAGTCTGATTACAAAAATAAACTGAATCAGTACTCTGTGTCCCTTGTTAAGAATATAGATTTCTTGGGGCACCTGGGTAGCTTAGTGAATTAAGCGTCAGACACTGATTTCATTATAGGTCATGATCTCAGGGTGTGATTGAGACCCACCTAGGGCTCCAAGCAGGGCATGGAACCTGCTTAAGATTCTCTCTCTCTCTCCTGCTCCCTCTGCCTCTACCCCTACCACTCCCACTGGGTCTCCAAAAAAAAAGAATATAGATTTCAGAGCCCCACCCTGGAAGTACTTGGTTGGGGAGGGGGTGGTGATGGAATTACAATGTAAATTTCACTGATTTTTTTTTTTTTAGGTTTATTTATTGGAGAGAGAGAGAGAAGGGGGGAGGGGCAGCAAGAGAGTAAAGGAGGCTTAAGCAGACTCCACAATGGATGCAGAGCCCAATGTGAGGGCTCGATCTCACAACCCTGACATCACAACCTGAGCAGAAACCAAGAGTTGGATGCTTAACCGACTACACCACCTAGGCTCCCCAATTTCACTGATTTTTACGCAGTTTCAGTATATTACCTTGACTTTGAGCCATACACACCCTCCTAAAGTAGTCAGTTACAACATGTTTTCAAATCTGAAAAAGTAGCAACCTAAATATCATTCTTAAATAATACACTGCAAATGGCTCCTTACGGGTCCTTTTTTTTTTTTTTTCAGCTTTTTGGGGCTTTTTAATTTACTTTCTTTTTTCTCATATTCCATATGGATGATCTCAAGTAAACAGACATTCATACACTAGGGAACTCCTTACAAATGAAAATACAAGTATGAAAGAAATTTCCAACATTTATATTCTTTTAAATTATCACAATTAAACAACTAAACAATAACTATATCATTTTCATTAGAAAGTACTTTCAGTTTAAAAAAAATGCTTCCAACATAATAAACAAAAGTCTTACCTAATCGTAATTCTCCAAAATTGCCACATCCAATTTTTTTTCCAACTCTAAAGTTAGGTCCAACCATTAAAACTCCAGAGGATGAAGACCCAGTTCCTCGAGTGTTGTGTCCCGACCGACCACTAGGTCGTGCCATTCTATCATCTGATTTGTCCTTGTCTTTCTTTTTATTATCCATATCAAGTTTGCGGTACTCCACTTTGAATTCTTTAATCAAGACAAGCACAATGAAATAGGGTATTGTGAGAACAGGTACATCACTAGGTTAACTGTACCAGGTGGGTAATTGTTAACATTCGAATTGCAGTAGGTAGTCAGTTAACTGGAGCGTGTTCATCCCATTCGTAAAATTTTTCTCAGTTGTCTTTTCAGCAAAACATATCTTCAAAATTATCTTTTCAATGATGTAAGCTGATATTGATAGAGAGCTAGAATATTAGAAAAGAAAATTAGTCAACTTAAAGAATTAAAAAACATTTTGGGGATATTAATACCATAAGTTCAAGTAATGGATTATTGTTAATTGATTCCCACTTAAACCACAGTAGACTTAAAGTAACCATTAGTCTCTTTCCTATACTTTAATAACAAAAAGATAACAAAAACAAAGGAATTTTATTAAAAACTAAAAATGTATCAGAAACGTGCTATTTCATAAGCCAATATACATTCATTAATCTAGACCCTACAACTTAAAGCCATTTCAGTTTTTACCAATAAGTCAATATAAGATTTTCCACTTAAAAGCAGAAAGAGAATACATTTTGCAAATTAGTAAAAGATTTTAATAAAAATGTCTTCCATATGTCCATACACACATACAAATTTTAAAAATCTTTTCAAATATACATTTTCATTTGAACTTCATTCAAAACTTCATTCATTCAGGGGAGCCTGGGTTGCTCAGTTGTTAAGCGTCAGCCCTTTGGCTCAGGTCATGATCCCAGGGTCCTGGGATCGAGCCCCGCATCGGGCTCCCTGCTCACTGGGGAGCCTGCTTCTCCCTCTCCCTCTGCCCCTCCCCACCCCGCTCATGCTCTCACTCTCTCTCTATCTCTCTAATAAATAAATAAAATTCTTTAAAAAAGGAAATAATTCAAATACTATTAATAAATAAATAAATATTTATTATTATTTATAACGATATATGGAAATGGACTTCAAAAGTGGTAATGCAAAGAACATTCTTGCCACCCATCACGGGAAACAATTCTTATATAACATTTGAACTAGGCCTTTAAAAAAACGTAATTTCACAAGGTTAAGAAATACTGGCACCCACCTTATGAGGTGGAGAAGATTTGCTTTTATATTTTCTAATATATACATGAAAACACTAAAGCTCAAAAAAAGGCTTTTGGAGGAGTCTTCCCCATTCATCTTCTCTAGGAAATTCACCCATCTAACATACCTCAATTGTGCAAGCTTAAGCAATTCTCCAATTTTTGTTTGAACAATTTGAGTGGATTCCTATTCTTTGCAATTAAAGAAATGACTTCAAAATATAGTCACTAATAAAGAAACCAGGATCAATATTAAGGACTTCTTATTCCTATTTCTGAAACTGACTATATAATGCAATCACAACAAGAGTTGAAACAAATAGTATTTTCTGATTAATTCCCAGCAATCCCCCAAATAGGCAATTAGTCCTAATACCCAATGTGCTTAAGGTGTTTCATATTATTTCTGCCATACTCATATTTTGCAGATAAAACTGTAAGCCTCTGTTTGGTATACGTAAAACTGAATGAGTTCTACATATACTGCTTATTCTGTTTCCAAATATAACAGATTAACTGATACTGAAATTCCCATCCTGCTGTAAATAACTATACAACTGAATAAAACTTATAAAGCACCTGTTTTCAGGTATTGAATAACAGGCACTGTGGTCTGTGATCCTCAAGAAAAAGCAAACACATAAGGTGAGTCCCACTTTTACCCAAGCTCTCTAGGGAGGGGTAATTTTCTGACAACAGTACGGGGAGGTGAAACACAGGTTGTACACAGTGATCACAGATCAGGCACTGTTGAAACAAGTGAAATTTGCAGGATGTGGTACACAAGGTAAGGCAGTGGTACAGTTCTGGGGGTAGACAGTGGTAGGCAGAAAGCTAGACTACACGTGTGGGTGGCAATATTCTGAAATACCTAGGCTACTATGGGGTTAAATGAATAATGAACATACTAAAGGCTGCACAGTGCTGGGAGAGCTTTAAGTTCATATGTAGTCATGGTGGAAGGAACTCATTAATATTGCAGGAATTCAGCTGAGACTCCACAAAGACCAGGTCTTAAGAATAAGTACCATACTCTAGAGTAAAGACTACCCTCCAGGGCTCAACTAAAGCCTAAAACCAAGCCTAGATAGGATTAAGAAAAGCATCAATTAAACTCACTCCGTTCCATAAAAAAACTCAACATACTTAAAAAGACAAAAGACCCAGACTCTTAACAATGTTGAACTTATAATATCTAGCATACAATTAAAAATTACCAGACATGCAAATAAGCAGAAATGTGACCCACAGCCAGGAAACCAAGCTGCAAAAGAAACAAGACTCCAAGATGATCCTGATAGTGGAATTAGAAAACAGGACTTTAAAACTACTAACTAGCTGTTAAAGTCCTATTAAATTGAATAAACAGAATAGAGCAGAAAAAAATATTTAAATAAACAATGGTTCAAACTGTCCCAAATTCAGTGAAAAACATTAACCTACAAATTGAGGAACTGTGAAGAGCACTGGAAATCAGAAATGCATGGGTATTCATTTCCTTAAAAGATAAATTACTGATTAAAGCACAAATAAATTTTTAGTGTCATTTATAACAAAAAAGGAAGTAAAATATATTTTAACAAAAATGGGGGGTAGTATATGGAACTGCATTATTTTAAGATTGTTATATTTGTGGAGAATGATGTGGTTCAATATTAAGTAGCCAATGACAAGTAAAGAATGTATATTTTAATACTTAGGCCAAATACAAAAAAAAATTAACTGCAATAGGAATAACTAAACAGCTAAGACAAAATATAAAAACAATAAACAACATCTGATTAAAACAAAAAAGAAAGAAGACATATGAGACAAAAAGAAAACAAAGAGCAAGACACTACAGTCAAAAACACACAAAGGACTATGAAAATGGACCATATTCTCAAAAGGGAAAATTGTCAGGCTGTATAAAAAAGAAACATCCAACTAGATTTATCTCTAAAAACAATTTCAAATACAAAGACACAAAGAGACTGAAAGTAAAAGAGACAAAGATACACTATGCAAATTACAAGTGTAAGAAAGCTTGAGAAGCTATAATATTATCATACAAAGTAAACAAAGTAATATTATCATACAAAGCAAAACAAAGAAATATCTGCAAAGATACAGAGGTCCATTTCATAATGCCAAAAATACCAGTGGAACTGAAAAACATAAAAATCATAAATACATATGAGCAAAATAAAAAACTAAAATTAACAAAACTAAAACTAAGAAAATCAAAGGAAAAAAAGACAATCGAAATTGAAAATGTTAACAATGTTTCAATAAATGATAAAATAGAAGGGGGCCTGGGTGGCTCAGATGGTTGAGGGACTGACTCTGGATTTTTGCTCAGGTCATGATCTCAGAGTCATAGGATCAAGCCCCACCACATCAGGCTCCACACTCAGCAGGGAGTCGGCTTGAGATATTTCTCTCCGTTTCCCTTTTGCCCCTCCCCACTCTCGCATGCTCTCTCTCTCTCTAAAATAAATAATCTTTAAAAAAATTAAAAAGGAGGCAAAAATATCAGGATGTATAGGGATATAGTAGATCTAAAATAATACCATCAATACCCTGCACTTAAACTGACATTTATAAAATACAACATCCAAAAACTACAGACTATTTCCCTTAAATGTTCACCAAGAAAGATCATATGCTGTGTCATAATTTAAGTCTCATATAACTGAAATATTACAGAGCACATTCTCTGATCAAAATAGAATTTAAAAAGGAATCAAAAATTATATGAGATCTAGAAAATCCCCAAATATTTGAAAATTAAATACACTTTTAGGGCACCTGGGTGGCTCAGTCGTTAAGCGTCTGCCTTCAGCTTAGGTCATGATCCCGGAGTCCTGGGAGCAAGTCCCGCATCAGGCTCCCTGCTCAGCAGGAGGCCTGCTTCTCCCCCTCCCCCCTCCCCCTGCTCATGCATTCTCTTTCTCTCTCTCTCAAATAAATAAAATCTTTAAAAAAAAAAATTACACTTTTAAATAATGAGTTGAAAAATAAATCACAAGAAATGAGAAAAAAACTAACAAAATAATAATGAAACATTAAATTTTGTAAACTGTATCTAGATCAATGCTTAGAATAAAATCAGAAGCTTTAAAATGCCTACATTTAAAAACACTTTTAGGTAATGATCTAGGTTTTCTTCTTAAAGTTAGAAAAGAGCAAATTAGACATCACTTTAAGAAGTACTTTAATAGAGCTATTACTAATATCCCATGGACTTATACGAAAATCTAGTCTTAATGAGTGAAAACAGGAGTCTCAGCAGATAAATGCCAAACTATCATACAAAAAAATGGGAACTCTAGAATAAAAAGATTCGTATCTGAAATGAAAAGCTTCACTGGATACACTTAAAAGTAGACTGGAGGGTGCCTGGGTGGGTTCAGTTGGTTAAGCAACTGCCTTCGGCTCAGATCATGGTCCCAGAATCCCGGGATCGAGTCCCACGTTGGGCTCCCTGCTCAGCAGGGAGTCTGCTTCTCCCTCTGACCCTCCCTCCTCTCGTGCTCTCTCTCTTACTCTCCCTCTCAAAAAAAAAAAAAGGTAGATTGTATAAAGCAGAATAAAGTGTCAATGAACCTGAAAGGAAATCCAAAGAAAGTATCCAGGGAACAAAATCAATAAGTAGAAAATAAACAATAGAGAAAGTAAATAAAGCCAAAATTCATTCTCTGAAAATGGACAATAAAACTGGTAACTCCTAGCAAAAAACGATCAAAAATAAAAAGAGAAAATATAAAAATAACCAATAACAATACTGAAAGAAAGGACATCACTGAAGATCTTAGAAATTTTAAAAGGATAAAGGACAATTATGAGCAACTTTACGCCAATAATTTGATAACTCAGATGAAATGGACAAATTCCTTGGGGCACCTGGGTGGCTTAGGCGGGTAAGCAACTGACTTGATTTCAGCTCAGGTCATGATGCTGGGGTCATGAGATCCAGCCCCACATCAGGCTCTAAGCTCAGTGTGTAGAGTCTGCTTGTCTTTCTCCCTCCTCCCACCTCCTGTGCACTCTCCCTAAAATAATTAAAATCTTAAAAAAAAAAAAAGGAAATGGACAAATTTTTTGAAAAATCCAACACAGGATTACAAGATGAAACAAAGTATCAATAGCTCTGTATATATTAA